GAAACTTGACATTGATATTTACACAAGTAGAATAGAGAAAATATTTGCTATGTAGTTTGAAAATATTACTGGGCACTGACAATCACAAGAGAAAGGGACAATTCTTTTGGTGGAAGATCACCGACAGCGAGGAGGGCACGTGTCCCCCCTTTGTTAAATCTTTCGTACAAACGAAGCTTGCTCATCAATTAATATTTATTTTAGAGCTGTTTCAGCCTTTAAAGCTCGCTCGCTCATTAATTTTAAAAAAAATTTAATTACTGAAAAAAAAAAATTGTTTTTTTATCGAGTGAAAATATTTATTCGACACACTCTGTTTGTATTTTGGTCAGACATTAACTTGAGAAACTCTGTTGAAAGAGAAAATGCCCTGGAATTTGAATTGGCCACAGTAAAAGCGCGTGGCTTGCCGCTGGTCGTCATCTCTTGGCTCTCGTGCTCAACGTACTCCGGAAATGTGTTTGTATCCGTTTAAATAGTAAGAAAGTAGACCGTAAATTTTTTCGCACAGCAGGACTACGAGATCTGACAGTACCTGAGAAAATGGTAACAGTGTGTAGAAAAAAAGAAAGGCAGAGAGTGAAAAATAAATAACAGCAGTACAATAACAATATACTAACGAAAAGGGAAGTAATGTAAGACACCCAAGGGGGTAGAAGGACTCGCGCCTGAACGCCCTCAACGCGCGCGACTTTCGGTTATCCGAGCGTGTTTAACCCCTTCTATTTTTCCTTATTATTACATACACATTTAGCATAATTACTGCGTTTTTGCGTGTCGCAAGTGATGAATCATTTTTAAAATTTGCATTTTTACACTTGAATATACATCCGCTTAGATTTTATTAAATAAATAAAAATTTTGACTTGAAAGAAGAAAAAAAAACATTTTATCGCTGTTTAAGATTGCAATTGTATAAATTGCAATAATATTTTTCAACTGACAAAAATAAAATTATTAAATTAGATCACACGTAAATACGTAATAAATATATTACCAGTAATTTTTAATTATTACTTAATGTGTTTTAACAACTCTAATCTTATATAATTAATTATTTAAATGAAATCTCGCGTAAATGATACAATTGCAAATAAATTAATTAGCAAATCGATTACTTAATAATGACTTTTAATACGTAATTTATGTAATATTTAAAAGATTATTTGACTTTAAATCTCAAAATTTGCAATTTAAATAGATAAATAAATTTGTTCTGTCGACATAATGTGAATATATATTATTAACTTTAATTTTTAGATTCATTTCTTTTTTTTAATGCAAAGTATACAGTGTCAATGTTCATGTATAGATAGATATATTATTTAAACAAATTTTGTGTTATATGAAATTGATCAATTATTTAAAAATTTTCCTGCTTTTAAGTAAAAATTCTGATGGAATTTTTTTAGTTTAATTTTCAAGCCATGAATGTTTATTTCCATAAAATATTTAAATAAGAGAAAATATGAGGTGAAAATTAAGAACCCACAAAATTTTTTTTTTTACTAAAATAAGCCATAAATCAATTTTAATGTTTTTCACTTTTTAAAAGTAATATTTGTGTCTATTGCCACTGGTAAAAATAGTGAGAGTAAAATAAAAAAGACATGGTTCGTAAAAAATTTTTAGCCTCAAAGAAAAATCACTGAGACCGTCATATAATTTTATAGACGCTGACAAAACTCAGAGTACCGCTAAAATTTTTCTGAAAAAACTTATATAAAATTTTATTGCCCTCGGGTACTACGCGTACATGCGGTAAACCGAGTATCTCCAAAAAACTACCGCAAGATAAAGAATAGAAAGTTGTTTATATTTTTTACATTTCGATACTTTCGCAATAAATCATATTTAGGGCATTTCTTTTCTTAACTTTAGGTAAAATGTGTTTTTTAAATTTATTGATTTATTGATTGTTGACGTACTTTTTAGCCACTGAATTTTTATTTTTTTACCATTTTGAGGTTTTTCGGTACTACGCAGTAGTTATAAAAATAATTTATATTTTTTATCAAGTATTTAATTGTTCACTTCCTCGACATTCAAATTAATTATCAGCCAACTACTGTACAAACTGATTAAATAAATTTTGAAATCTAACGTCATGTCAATAATTAATTACATTTATTCAGTTTGGAAACATGTTCATTATTTTTCAAAGAATAAACTTATCACCATGATAAATAAATATAATAAAGTCTCGTTAATTAAAAAAAAACTGCGTGTGTAATTTCACGTTCCAAATCATATTATTTGTAGGGAAAAAAAAAAGTATGAAGTAAATGTTAAATATTAGCATTGGAATAGAGGCTGCTCATAGGCTAATCGGAGCAAATATTAGTGTCTAGGAATTGCTGTAATTTTTTGTTTAAAAAATAGTGTTTGGATAGTTGGTTTTACTTTAACTAAATAACTTTAAATAATCCGTATATTATAATTCAAATGGCTTCTTCTTTTATAGAAATTTTTAGATTCCAATTAAGAAAATTGTGAATTGAAATAAAAATGGTAAAATTTAAACAAATATGTCTTATGTCAATACGCGTTACACTTATATGCATATAACTTTAAATATTCACACTTGTCGGTGTTATCTAGTGACGCAAGAAGTGTGCTTTGTGTATTTTATGTTATTCTTCTCAGGTATGTCCTTCCTCAGGTCATTAACCATCAAATAAATTTTTATTCATAATACAGTGCCCCCTCTCTAAGATATTTCAGGTGTGTTTTAATTTTTTCATTGGTTACTAAAAAAATAAAAAAGATAATTTGTTGCATCTTAGGGAGAGAGCACTGTAGGGGAAGATGATCCTTATGCGATTAATTACACCATAACTTACAGAGATTTGTTTGGAGTTGATAAGTGAGTTAATGAATTCGTAAGCATGTTGATCATTATCTAAAAAATTATAAAATATAAAAAAATTAATTAACTGATATAAATTTAAATAATTGGTATTTAATAATATTAGCATACCCTTCAACTTTGAGTGCTTCATTATAAACTTATTAATCCACCCACCGCATAACAATCTTCACCATGGTGCAGCTAAATCATTCATTTTGAACCACATTGTGAATGGTCCGATATCTACTATTATTGGTTCTGTAAAATATAAAAATAAGCCCAAATTTTTTTTTCATTTTATTTAATTTAATGATTATAAATTTTCTTGGCAAAAAATTAATAAATTTGGAGGTTATATATGTATACTAACCGTCAATACACTCTTGATCCATGTAATGATAAAATACTAATTTTAATATAAGGGATATAGTCAATACCAAATAAACAAATAATTCTACAATTTATACGAATATTATCAAATATTAGAATATTTTATTTGGTGTAGAAACTATTTAATTTCATAAGTCTATTTATATGTCATAGTAATAAAAAAAATATCAGTTATCACAGTGTAGTTCTAAAAATCAATTAATTTAATGTCGATGTTGATAGCTGCATATTTTTTATCGAGTATCGATACATTATGTCTAAAAAATAACGGTTAAAAACATCGATTCTTTAAAAAAAAAAATATTAATAGTTGAAACATCGATATAGATATCGCCTATCCCTACAAAGTATATCAATACGTGGAGGTTACACGTATACTTCCGAGTTTTGCTCATTCCCAAACGAGCCTTAATAAAGCCGTATGGCATAATCACACGCAACTAAAAAAAATTTATAATTTCTTAAAAAAAATAAAGGTATGTATTTTTTGATTATTCAAAATTGAATACACTCATTGTATCGTTAATAATTTTCTATTAATTTGAGCCTATTGAAATTCAAATTGAGAGAAAAATATTGCTTATTGATTTTAAAGTTCGATAAATCCTCTATAAAAAAAAAAAAGAATTCATTATTGTTATCATACAAACACTAAATTTTATCGGCTCTGATCGTTAACATACCCGCTTTAGGCTACCTTCCCCTACGTATTTACATTAAAGAAAAAAAATTTCCCGCTGTATTTGATTCAAAAATGCTTAAAATATTTTTTACCACAAAGTTTTGAGCTTTTAGAGCTCAAAAATACATTTTTCACATATTTTTGATAATTAAATTTTAATGATAGAGGAGAAAAAGAATTTTAATAAATTGTCTTATTAAAAATTAATTAGTATTGTATTGTTGTTTAAATAATTTACTGAGCAAACATAAGTAAGTTTAAAAAAAATATTTTATCAAACAATAATGTTTGGTAATTTTCTACCTAAATAAGTAGGTCACTATTTGTATTTTATTGTGAGTACTTAAATAATATACACATAAACGCTCATTACCATGATGAATAAACGAGGTTACTAAGATTTATGTAGCCCAATAAATTACCCATAATAGATTACGCAACATTGTTTTATTAATCAATATTTTCATTCATAACGCGTAGTACGCGATTAAAAGTTTCTGGGTGAGAATTTAAAATGTCAATTTATAATTTTATTAATTTTAATCATTCAGATATTGATATCATTTACAATTAATTGCACAAAAATAACGTTCTTGTGTCATTTACATTTTATTCAAGAGAGATGATCTTGAATGTATTTATAAAAATGGTAGATGGCATACAGTTAAGAGCGTGTTTTTTAAATAAACCATATTATTTATTTATGAATATTTTTAAAAACAGTAATACAAACAAGCCATTTAATTTTGACAACTATAAAAATACTATTAATTTTTAACTAAACACAATTTATTTTATATGTTAAGTGCAGTGTGTGACAGAGATGAAATATGTTAAGAATTAATTTATCGTGACATATTTGTTAAATGTATTGAACTAATATTATGTTCTTTTTGAGTGTAAAGCAGTGCAAGTAAACTTGTACGTTTATTTGCTTATTTATTTAATTTATCGATACAAAATTATACTCCCGAAAGAGATTTATTAACAATTATCACGGTTCCGTCTCTCTAAATTCCTTGACACCACAACTGACAAAAATGAACATGTTTTATCTACAGTATCAATTAAAATAAAATGGAGCACGAAAGTTTTGATAAAAAAGACTTTTTTCCAAAAGTTTTGCGTTCAGGATTAAAAAATGACTGCATCACTGACGTCAAAATAGTAAAAAAGTCCAATAATGACAAGAAGGGCCACCACTTTTTGAGCAATTTGCTTGCTCTAACTCTAGAATACACACATTTACTTTCAAAAAATGGCTCGTTCAACGCAATTAAAGATTCTGCTAATTTGTTTATAAAAAAACCACTGCCAGATAATACCCACGCGCTGATGTTCGAGATGGATATTTTCGATATAGAGTCAAAAATTTTGAGCGACGTTTTTGCCTGAAATTAAACAGATAGTTAGGGTTAAAATTGGCCCTAAATTTATTTACCAATCAAAAGAACTTTCTGCAATCATAATGCAGGATTTGCGTCAATTCCAGTTTAAAAATAAAGACCAAAAGTTAGGTTTATCAAAAGATCATCTAGGCATGGTCATTGAAGCTCTTGCTAAGTATCATGCAGGGTCGATTGCGTTAGAAGAAAAGGTATATTTTGATTTCTTTATATTTTTCGGTTTCCACCAAATGAGATTGACCAATAATTACTTGATTTATTGAAATTAAATAATTTTTTAACCAGGCTTCCTTCAACAGTTCCGTCAAAGTTTATTGTTCAGTTCACAAACGCATCCGAATTTTTTAGGAATGTTAGCGACTTGTCTCGAAGTCCTTGGAAATAATATGCTTAGTTGGTCGGATGCAAAATTTGTTGAAGCCGGTTATAAGATTCAAAATATCTCTAAGAGTATCGTAGAATCTTCCAAGAAAAATAATGACTATAACGAAGACGAATTTTGTGTTTTGAATCACGGCGATTGTTGGGCCAATAATGTAATGTTTCGTGAAAATGACGCGAATGAGCCACTGGAAGTTCGTTTAGTAAGTTATTAATTAATAAAATAGATTATTTCTGATTATAATTAATAAATTTGAATTAGGTCGATTTCCAATTGCCTGTTTGGTCGTCTCCAGCGATTGATTTACTGTACCTACTTGGTTTTGGTCCTGCATCCGATATCATGTACATAATATTAGATGACTTTTTCTTGGAAAAATATTTGACAACTCTAAAAAATACTATGGAAAAACTTGATTGTAAAAGAAAACCGCTGACTTTGGATGAGCTTAAATCGTCAATGTGGAAGCGACGATCTTTGGGTCTGATAAGCGGATTGATATTTTATCCTAAGTTTGTGATCGAAGCTGATGTTGTTGGTCCTATAAAAGAAGTTCTAGATAATCAAATAACAGAGGTCAGTATGTATTCAACGCCAGAAGTTGTCGAAAAATTATCTAAGGTAATTCCTTTGATGGAAGAAAAAGGATATTTGGATTGAACTCTCTAATCCCTTATACCTTATACAATAAAAAATTGAAAAAATTCAATTTTATTATTTTAAAAATTTTGTTTTGGTTTATTTACTTTTGTTAAAACCTCAGAAAAATTTGGTTAATAAGTATTTACACGCCAAATTATTCTTCATAAATTTGTAGTATTGATGGAATTTCAAATTACCAAGTGTTATAAATGTATGAAATATTAATATTACATATTATCTATCTTCGTTACGTAACTGATAACCCGAGAAATGATATGAGCGACGGTTCGACATCTAAATATATATTTATATCTATTGACATAGGTCAGCGGTCGTGTAAATAGAATAGCCAGAATTTTTCATCATCCTTTATTACTATTAATTGAATATTAATCTTTGTTTGTCGCATTTATTGTTATGATCACTTTATTGGAAAATTTAATCGACCACCGACGATTTATTTGATAATAAATTCGATCAAATATCTAGAAAATTAAATTATTGCAGTGCGTTGCACGGAAAAAATTATCACTGGGTTTTTTTTTCGTTATTTGTACAGTCTAGAATGTTTTAAAAGTGAATCATTTATTTTTTGTATATGCTATTAAATATATTTATTACTTTGCAAAAAATATATTTTTTCTTAGAAAATTACGCCGTAAAAAATTAAAAAATTTTTTACTAGTTATTACAGTAGTTTGGAACTTGACACACATGTTGATGATGGTCGCGTAACTTTTTTTTTTTATTTTAAAAAGATGGTAGTTAGTTCTGATAACAATTACATTAATATATAAAACATCTACAAAAATAGAACTCAGTAAAAAGTGTTAGTAGAAATTATAAGAGCCAAAAGCAACGAAGATGAGTTTTAGTGCTTCGAATAATTACAATTAATGTTGAATTAATGATATTCATGATAATGATGCAGATGAACTTCTGTAAATCCGTTTAGTAAGTCAATATACTCATTAATAAACTGATTAATTAATTAATAAATGTTTTTAGTGTAAGTAATTGTAGTGTTAATTAAGTTAGATTGATTTCAAAATATTTAGACTTTAATTTCTCCTGTCGTTACCTTAAATTAGATATGAAATACTGTCGATATTTTTTTTTTAAAAGATAATTAATCAGAAACACTTGCAGAAACCCTCAAGTAGACAGCGTGTTGTAAAAAAATCCAACTTTTAAGCATCAATGGAATATGAAAAAAAAAATTATTTAAAATTTCAAGTAATTATTTTTAATACGCATATATTTTACTCAGTAATAAATTATGCTTATAATAAAATTTTTCAATGATTATCAATGTGGGTAAATAAAATTTCTATAACTTGTATTTATAGTAACTGATGTAACGCTTGAAATTATTTAGCGTATAAATCCAAATATTTGTAAACGTTCTTCTCTCTTTTTGTTTTAAAGCGGCTGTCGTTTATTGACCCTATAATGCTCACTAATCGGTGATCATTATTATTACTTTTGGGTAAATTAAAAGATAAGACTTAAACGTTGTACAGGTATATCTCTTTTAATCGTAATAAATTAACAGATGGTACGGTGAGTACACTTAAAGGCATTTAAAGCCGAGGAAACCGCGTTAGTATACGGTTGTGAGTTATCGGGAGTAATTGGGAAGAGATATCTCTTTAACCATGAGTATTGAAACGGTTATTAGAAGTGTTGAGAATCTACCCAAGTCTATTGATAATATTCAAAAGGTAAGTTGATTATTATTATTTTTTTTTTTTTTAATTTATCAACTCACTTTTTCATTCAATTTTATTTTTAATACTTCGATAAAACCATAATATTTTTTTAATTCATTAAATAAATAATTTTACAACCTTATTATTTATGTAAAAATATTGTTATATTTTTTTTAAATTTTGTTTATGGATCATCAAGTTTTATTTTAGATTAATTATTTTTTTTAATCATGTAAATAAATATTTATTAAATCTTTGATTAATTTTATTAATTATAATAGTCATTTATTTTTACTTGAAAAAAAAATTTATTTATTAAAAAAAATAATTTTCTAATTTTTTGATCATTTATAAGAGAAATATTTATTCTAAAATTAAGACAATAAATTATTTTTAGAATGGAATTGTGTCTGAAAACTCTGACTGGACGAATATGATTTTCGAAAAAATTCTCCTGAACGGATTAAGGGACTACACAATCCAAGATGTAGCGATAATCAACAAGCGTTTGGCGTGTACAAAAGGACAGAATTTTCTGAGCCAAGTGTGGAGGCTATCTTTGAGATACACGTGTGTACCCAAGAACAATTCATTCAAAAGAATTAAAAAAATAGTGCATTTAATAATGAAAGAAGAGCCATTGCCGGGGTTCAGTTTGGATTTCATCCGGGAAAACGGGATATTCAATGTTGAGCTGATGGTTTTCACCAACATATTACCTTCGTTGGAACGACTGACCGGTCGACAATTCGCGCCACGGTTCTTCAGCGGGTCAACTCAGCCACCGACGATAATTCTCGAAGACTTAAAACCTCTTGGATTCAAAAATAAGTGCCGGCAATCAGGATTATCACAAGCCCACATGCTTAAAGTCATCGAAGCCATTGCACAATTTCATGCTGGATCCGCTGCATTAAACGAACAGGTAATTTATTATTTTTTTTTTTCTCTTAATCGTGATTAAGCTAAAAATAAATGTAACGTCTGGTTTTAAAAGAATTACGCTTGTTTAATAAAATATAAAATGTAAATGAGAATAACATTATTAAATTTACAGCAACCAGGACGTTTTCTACGTTTTACGTCGAGATCATCGTCCGAAGAAACACATGCCAGTATGTACGATTGGTTGGATTTTATCATTGATCAAATAGCTGATAAAATTCGTAAATGGTCTGAACCTTGGGCGATTCGCGCTTCGGATAAGTTGAAAAAATTACGCAGAGTTACACAGCATCAAAAACTATTGAAGGTGTCGGAGTACGACAACGACGAGTTTTGCGTGTTAAATCATGGCGATTGTTGGATTGGCAACTTTATGTTTCGTGAAAATGAAAATGGAGTGCCGTTGGAAGTACGAATGGTGAGCAGACACTTGATTAACTCTCAGAAGTAATCATCTATATTATTAAGAGAATAAGGAAAATTTTGTGTCCAGGATAGTCATATGATAAAATCGGTTTTTTTAGTGTAATTAAGTGTCATTGCAAAGGTCTTGATTTGAATTTGTGCCTTTTCATGGTTTCATATCATTCTCATCAATAGTAAATTTATGCCCGGGGAAAACGGTTTAGATCTGACCAGATATAATTATATCTGGTCAGATCTATTTATATCTAATCAGACATGGGATTGGAGACATAATCAGATCTAGTTATATCTGATCAGATCTAAACAGATATAACTATATCTGAGTTGAAAAATTCATCAGACATGATCAGATCTAGTCATATCTGATCAGATATAAACAGATATAACTATATCTGAGTGAAAAAATACATCAGACATAATCAGATATAGTCATATCTGATCAGATCTAAACAAATATAACTATATCTGAGTGGAAAAATACATCAGACAATCAGATCTAGTCATATCTGATCAGATATAAACAGATATAACTATATCTGAGTGAAAAAATACATCAGACATAATCAGATATAGTCATATCTGATCAGATCTAAACAAATATAACTATATCTGAGTGGAAAAATACATCAGACAATCAGATCTAGTCATATCTGATCAGATATAAACAGATATAACTATATCTGAGTGAAAAAATACATCAGACATAATCAGATATAGTCATATCTGATCAGATCTAAACAAATATAACTATATCTGAGTGGAAAAATACATCAGACAATCAGATCTAGTCATATCTGATCAGATATAAACAGATATAACTATATCTGAGTGAAAAAATACATCAGACATAATCAGATATAGTCATATCTGATCAGATCTAAACAAATATAACTATATCTGAGTGGAAAAATACATCAGACAATCAGATCTAGTCATATCTGATATATATATATATATATATATATATATATATTGAAAGTGGGTTTCGTAGACCGTCAATCACGCAAAAACTATTGAACGTATTGACATATGACTGGGACCATTTTATTTCTATTTAACTTTGATAAACATTTTTTCCCGCCGATAAAAACAAAAGACGAGCATTTTTCTTCAATTCATTTGTTTTTTTATCGGCACGAAGGGTATTACGTTTTTTTTTCTTTTTTTGAGAATTTAGTTCCATGTACCAACGTGTGGGCGAATGCGTGGGTGGATGGGTGGGTAGATGCATACTCTCTAAAAATGAATCAGTGGAATTTCACTGTTTCACAGTTATAAGTCTACCAAGTGGTATACTTATAACTGTAAAACAGTGAATTTACTACTAATTTCCAGTGATTTTCACTGTTTCAGATTTAGAGAGTAGGCGGATGCGTGGGTGGAAAATTTCACTTATTATTTCATTTAGGCATGAAGGGTATCACGTTTTTTTTTTTTTTTTTTTTTGAGAATTTAGTTCCATCTACCAACGCGTGGGTGGATGGGTGGGTGGATGCTTGGGTGGACGCGTGGGCGGAAGCGTGAGTGTAATATAAATAAGCGAAATAGGGTTTCACTAAGAAAAACAAAAGACTCTCATTTTTTATTCATTTATTTTTTGGTGTGAGTTGTCTACAATGGGTCCATACTGTCTCGACGGTACACGACCCCCGCCGAGTTTTTGGGCATAATGACCCGCTTCTTTGAACGTTTACGTTTTTCTGTAAATGTGAATTAATTTTTTTTTTTTTTTGAATTGTTAATGGAAGGATTTTTGGTCGTTCCGTTAAAAATACGGAATTTTGTTTTGAGGAAATTTTTGATTGATATTTTATTGAAAAAATTAAAAAGTTTAATTTTTTATTTAATGGCTTAGTGATTCTTTAGAGAAGAAAAGATTTTTCTTGGAAGAAATCTTCGAGAAGTAAATTATTCTATTTTTTTATAAAAAGAAGATTCATTTTAAAGTATAATATATTTATTTTTGGAAGATTAAATTTATAAAAGAATTTATTAACTGTTAATATGTTTATATTTACACTCAAGGGTCCAAATAATTTTTTATTAACATTAAAAAAATATTTATTAACTATTAGAAACCTTGCAGTCACTAAGTGACTGACGTGATTTGTGAACTATAAATAAATAAAATTTTGCATTATTAAATAATGACTCTTATTAAATTGCACTGTATTTTCTTAAATATTGAAGTTTTTAAAGATATAAGCTCATCTTGATGTTATACTCATCAAGAGCTTTCATTTGAAACTTACATGCATTTTTGATATATTTTTCATATATACATATATGTAATATATATAAATATATGAAAAATTGATGTGGGTACTCAAATGAAAGCTCTTGATGAGTGTAACATCAAGATGAGTTTATATCTTTAAAAACGTCAATAGTTAAAAAAGTACAGTGCAATTTAACAAAAGTCATTATTTAATTAAAACATTTTTTTTCTGCAGCTGGACTTCCAAATGTCAGTCTGGACTTCACCAGCAGTAGATTTACATTACTTCATCAACACCTGTCCTGAAGTTAGCCTCAAAGTCGACTACGATGACTATTTTATAAAAAAGTACGTCGAAATTTTGTCGAAGTCAATGAAAAGGTACGGCTGCAGCACACCACCTCCAACATTGCAAGATATTACTCGAGCCATGCACAAAAGACGAATCTACGGGCTGATGTCGGGATTAATATTCTATCCGCGGATGATTGCCGATGTTTCGGATATCGAAGCGATAGACGATTGCTTCAAAAGTGGCACCACCAAAATGAACATCTTCAAAAATCCACGGGCTGTCAAAGCGCTGAAGAAAATGATCCCTGCTATGCTCGAAAAGGGTTACTTAGATTAATTATTAAATGCATTTTTTTTCTGTAAATTTATTTGACAGACAATTTTCTGGAGTCGTGTAAAATGTAAAATGTGGGTGTAAAAAAATATGGACGTGTTGGAAAACCCTTGCGCAACTGTGGCAAATTTTTAAGAAGACCTACTTTCAAGTGCTACAGAGTATGGTAGCAATTTGAAACAGACTACTGTAAATTTACAAACACAGCAAGAAACGCATAGCAGTGAATTGTTTGAAAAAAGGAAAAAAACTTTGATTTATAATAGGGCAGTAAAGCAGTAGGTAAAATCCTGTGGAGTTGCTCTTGGTAACCTACATCGTGAACAGAGAAATTGTTGTGGCAAGCCTCGATGGGTGGTTTCTGGGTTCTGATGGAATAAGAAAAGAATAAGAAAAATGAAAAAGTTAAATAGATAACACGGTCCTATCTTTTAAGTGAGTGCGAAAAAGGCAGAAAAAGGTAAAATGGAATTCTAAAAGACTAAAATTTCTCTTTACTCTTGGGATAGAAGCTCAGGCCCAGTAAGAGACTGCTGTTTGTAAATTTATGTACTACTTCGCACAGTAAGTCAGTCACTCGGTCGTACAAGTCAACCACCTACATATACAAGTAGTAAATCAAATGGTGGTAAACTAGCAGCTACTGGAATTTTGTAAAAGTTTACTATGGTTTAACGTGTATGGGGAGCTGGACAATGCTCTGAAATTGAAATCAGTACACTTAGCTTTTAGTGGACTACTGTATACTATACTGCCTTTGTCTAATCTATGTCATTTCTTTTTAAGGTTTTGAGAGAAATGAATTTTCTTAAATGCGAGAAATTTTAGGCGAGAAAAAAAAAATGACTCTATAGTGAAGAAAGTAAAAGTGTAAAATTACACTCCAAGATATTTGTCGTGGTATCCAGGTTACTCGCTCGTAAAAATATATTGCTATTGTTAAAATTTCAGTAGCTCCCAATGTAATTAGTCATGTTCTGTGTTAAAATTTTTAAAAAATACCCGTGAGGTAAAAGGAAAAATTATTCTCATTTAACAGATTAATATTTTCTGATAGAAGAATTTTTTTATATACTTTAAATTATTGTTTTTAAGCGTCTATTTAAATTATTATTAAGTTAAATTATTTTATCTATATTTTTAAGTAATTATAAAAATGTTAATAGTTAATATTTATTTGAAAAATTTAAAAATACATCTGTAAATAAATTTTAAAATTTTATTTCTTAACTTATTTGTCAGTGTGATGTTTGATGAATACAAAAACTAATCCCGTAGTTTGTCAGGTTTGACGTTTTGATAGAATAAGTTATTCAAGGGAATCCATCTTCGTCTTTTGGGGTAAAATTTAAGGAGGTACTATTCGATTGACCAATTTTAACCGGTAATTTTTTAACTCTGACAATAAAACCCAAGATAAATTTAAGTTCGGGTTATTAGCTTTAAAAACGTAATAAAAATTATATTTTCCCACAAATTTAATCCAGTTAGTATTACTAATTCTTCAAAAAAGATTATTTATTGTCTATTAGAATCATAAAGGAAGAGGTATTTTTTTTTATCATCGTGGGTGTGAAGAAAAATAAAATATAGTGGTGTAATACAATAAAAATTATATAAATAGAGTATAATGGGATGTAACGTTTACAAGAAAAAATAGATAAAAATTATATTGAATGCACAGTAGCAACAAAGTGCCCACAGCAAGCGATAAATCCAAGTCTCGCGTTGACGGTAGAAAGTAGCTAATACAAATAGATGTATGTTGGTTAAAATGTAGTGACAAACAGTAGTTGAGTTTGCCATTGTACTTGAGTAGCAGTGAATAATAGTTTGAGTATTTTACCCGCAGTCTAGTGTCCCTTTTTGATACAAGTGAAATCCCCAATTGGAAAATAGTTTGTCGAGTGGCGGACTATATATTTCTTTTTTTTCAATATATAGGGGTATATTTACTCTGATAAGTTTGATTGGCGAGAAGTTTTGATTGCACGCGCCAGGTTGTCATCTTGTATATATTTATTACAATATACCCGTGGGATCGGTTATTAATGTTTGAGTGTATTTAGGCTCGGAAATCGATAAATAATATGTCTCAACGATCAATGTTACAATGTTCTAACGCGATTAAGTAAATTGATGTGCTAAAGAGCCGTAGAGAATAATACAATATTAAATACGACAGTAGAATGTTTGGAAAGATGCGGGCGAGGTGCATGGATCCTGAGTGCGTGGGATTTTTTTTTTCTAAACTGTAACTTCAGTTTTTATCGATACTTTATTTGCAATTTATCAAATTACCATGGAATTTTACGGCTTTGTTGGTGGGCATACTTATTCTTTCGGTAATTAGAAATAGATTTATAATGCCTTTAATATAGATGGGGGATGAAATATTAGTGTCGTCGAATAATAGTTTAATGATGAAAAATTATTTTATTAGGTCTTTAAAATCATTTAGTGGAAAATTTTATTTTATTCTCGAGAAAAGGTATCGACATCGGAATTTTTTTCGTAATATCCCACTATTTAGATTGATTTTTTTTATAAGATTCTTTAGAAGATTTTCTAGCCTTAGGTCAAAATCCTCAATAGATTTATTTGAAAATTAAAAAATGCATTTTTTTTATTTATATTTTAATATCCGTAGTTTGAAATTAAGGATTTATAGTATTTATCTACCGATAAAATCGTTAATGTTGAAAGATCAATAAAAAAAAGGCTTATTACAAAAATTTCTCAGCGAGGTATAAGAAGCCGATAAGGTTAGTGTGGTTTCTTTTAAGGCGCTCGGGTGGTAAAATAGAAATCATCCGATTTGAATCAACTTTAAATTTTATGATACTAAAATTAATAATTATCTAAAAAATATTTTAAATTTTTTCAAACAAATTTTTATGAAAAAAATTTTACATTAAAAATTAAAAAAAATTTTTAAAAGTGTTTTTTTTTACAAATCATTTAATTTTTAGAAAAATTAAAGGAAATTTTGGTTTTCTAATTTTGACGGTGTCATTTTTTTTATTTATCTTTCGACAATAAAAATTTGATAGATTTTCAATGAGTTGAGAAATAACATTTTAATGAAAAATGATTTTTTTTATTTTTTAAATTATCATTCATTTAATTTTTGTGTTTTTAATAATGCAAAATTAATTTTTTATCAATTTTTCTGACCAATTAAAGGGTCGTATACTTCAACAGAAATTTTAAAAATCAATAAAAAAATAACCCCGTACCTATATACAACCTCCCGTACAATAAAACTGTTAACCTGACGTGTATGTACCTCGAGCGAAGGTCTCTGGGAAAAATTTAACTACTTGCAGGTATTGTAAAATGAACAATTGCGCAAGGTCAAAATCAGTAGACAAAATTGCGCATGTTTTGGGATTCTGTGGCTGTTGCTGCATTGAGTTGTCACCAAAGTCTTGAATTTTTCGAAAATACAATAAATCATATTAACCATAACATAACTTTCTGAATTTATGGGTCAATTTAGGGTAGCTTGGATTCTAGGTGAGACACAGACTTTCACTTGACACTAAAATTTTCCTCACTTATGTATCTATATACCTACAATATTCTGCTACTGTTCGTCGTAGGTATAATTTTGTATCCTACCCCGAATGGAGAGAGAGAACAGAGTAAGAAGAGTTGTAAGTAACGAGTGCATCATAAATGTATGGAGTTAAAATGTAGGTAGTAAACTTCCCAAATCTACTTTCCCAATTTTCTTTGAAAATTCTTTTGTATGAAACTCAGGTTAGATTTTCCTTTCCCTTATCCCGATAAGGGTAAGAATAATATCAAGAGTCAAGCTTGTTGAGAAAACAGTCTCGTCCAGGTAGATAGAGAATAAATACGAAATTTACAAAATACATTAAGAAGTCAAAATTTCTGAATAGAGAAGCTTTTGTCTATCTTAAAGTCAAGTACATAAAGCCAGACAGACGTAAATTACCGGCATGACTTTTTAAATAACAAAAATTTTATTTTCATTGACTATTACTGCCAGACAATATGCCGAGTCTGGGAAAATATTCAGATATAATCTCTAATAGGATTTCATAAATTATATTGTTTATTTTACTTCTAAACTTGACTTTGTAATGACCTATTCTTACTTTCAGACACTCTCGCCCACTTAAATCTCCGTACAATGTAACTCTTCAACCCTTTACTTCTAACGAGATTTATTTAAATTCTATTAGACTTATACATTCTTAAATTCACAAGATATACGGCTCATTTAAATGCGCTTATAATTATTTTTTCTCAACCCTTTTCCTTAACATTCTACAATTCACAAGATATACGGCTCATTTAAATGCGCTTATAACTATTCTTTCTCAACCCTTTTTCTTAATTTTCTGTCTGCAAAATTCTGGTCAGGGAAAATTTTTAAATTTTCATTGTTTCACTAATTTAGTATAAAATTTTTTCTTTGTCTTGAACTTCATAAATTTTACACGCTGGATATAATTTTAAAAATCTATTTTCAAATAGTAAATTTATTGTACCGCTTATTAATAGGACATATGGTTTGTCGGGCGTTTGTAATTTGAGCGCTTAAAACTTTACATACACTAAATTTTGTTTGAAGATATCCCTCGATGATACTTCTGTTAAATTTTACCGATAAATACTTAAAAATCTGTAAAATACATTAGTAAAAATTGTTTTATTTTTTTTTTAAACACATATTCAAATAATAAATCAATTATTAAAATTAAATTAGTGAAATTTTTACTATAGTTAAGTGAGTAAAAATTTTTTTTACTGTCAAACTAGTTATTAAAATTGTCACTAATTATTTAGTGATAAAATAATCAAAAAGTAAATTCTATCAATTAGTCAATTTTTTTATCACTAATTTTATAACATAAAATTTTAGCGAACTTTTAAATATTTAAGGGACAAAATATTTTATAAAAAAAAATCAATTAAAATTAATGATTGTCGGATAAAATTGAATTTCGAAATTGTTTGATTCTGAAATT